CTCATTAGCATAATAGGCCACACCCAACAGCAGAAACTCATTAGCATATTAGGCCACACCCCTGGTAGTTCAACTCATTAGCATATTAGGCCGCACCCCCATGTTACCAGAAGTGTGGTCATCCAGCCACACCCACCTTTCCCTTCTTATTCTGTTTACCTTGTTTGTTGTCAAAACTCAGGGCCTTTTTTTGTAGCAGGAACTCCTTTGGATGTTAGGCCACACATCCCTAATGTAGTCAGTCCGAATGAGTTTCTGCTGTTGGGTGTGGCCTATTATGCTAATGAGTTCCTGCTGGGCGTGGCCAACTTGGGAGCCAGCCGGAACTCCGTTCCTGTGCGTTCCTGCCCAAAAATAGCCCACAGTTATCCTTACAGGAAATACAAAAAAAGCAGAAAACCACCCAGACACTGTAATGTGATGGCTGAAACATTTAGTAAACCTTTGCATGTTAAAACATTATATAACATTGTTACTGATTAATTCTTTATAAGGTCTGGCTTGCTCCCAACCTATTACTGAGCTATATCAAGAGGAGAATAGGATTACTCCTGAGGAAGAACTGGGACGAAATGAGCTTAAATCCAGGTGCTCATTGAGAGACAGACGGACTTTTCCTGGCTTAGAGAGATGAATGGACTTTTTCTTGCAACATTATAAAGAATTAATAACGATGTTATATAATGTCATAACATGCAAAGATTTACTAAATGTTTCAGCCATCACATCACAGTGTCGGGGGGAGGGGTTGGTTGGGTTTTTTTTGGTATTTTCATAATGCAAGCTGGGCATAGCGTGCTGATATCTTCTACTTTATATAAATGCTGTCGAATCCCTAGAATTAATTCACTGCCTGTTGGATTGAATTTTTTTTAATTATAACATACATGATCTATTGCTTGCTTCACGGTGTTCTTATACTTTTTTTGTATTTAAATAGGGGCAAATCATTTTCAAAACTGTCTTGCGAATGGGTTCGGTGTCACCACAGATGTTAGGCCCGGGGTCCCCAACCTCTTTGGGCCTGTAGGCATCTCTGGAATCTGACACAAAATGGCTGCTGCTGGAGGCGGGGCCAGCCACAAAATGGCCGCTGCAGCTTTCCTTCAGGCACACAGTCCCTGTGCTGTCGTGGCAGCCGCTGCCAAGGCAACGTTTAAGAAATCTGCACAGCCAATCAGATCTCCGTTGACCAATCAGATCTCTGTTGGCCAATCAGAAGCCTTGCTGGGCAAAAACCCACTTTCTAAAAATACTTGGCGGGTGCCAAGGAATGTGTTGGTGGGCACCACAGGGACGCCCCATTGGGGATCCCTGTGCTAGACAATCTCAAGCTGGCTTCTGCCACAGCTTTAGAGAGCTGATGTGTTGAGAGCTTGACTCCCAGAGAGAAAGTTACAATGAGGAGACTGCAGTCAAGGCTGCCCCTTCCAACTCTATGATTCTACGATTCTAGAGTTTGTAGAGCACAGGTTCCAACTTGAATTTTGATCTCCACAACGGAAGGGAGATGGGGTTTTGGAAAAGAGGATGGAGACGTGTTAATATGCCTGGGATACATGTCGTCGCATAACTTCCAGTTGCTGGTTTGTTATAGAGATCTGTCATATGGAGAACTTCGGGACTACTACTGTTACATTGTAACCTTGATTTATAGCTCATGATTGTTGCATTTTGAGAGTTGGGGAACTCCATGTGTTACACTGTAACTCTGCCTTGGCACTTTTGACTCTGAATTAAATGCTTTTGGAGTTGTTCTGAGAAAACTTCGGTAACTTGATATACATGGAGAACACACACTCTTGTGCTATTTCAAAATAGTCTACCTAAAGGCATCGATACAAGACTTGTAAACTGTGTTCGCAGCGTTCATTCGCGTTGCACTACCGGGAGGCTGGCAGCCGTAGACGTATAAATCCAATCTCTTCTCTCTTTGTCTCTTCTAAATGTGATATCTTTCTCAGACTGGGTGACAGGAGGTGGAGGGAGAATTTTAGGCAGAATTTGGGTACTGGCCCTAGGTCACACTTTCCCCCTTTCCATCTAGATGGTTTCAGAGGGGAGGCATGCTGGTGTCCAGTGGAACGGCTAGATTTCAGTCCAGGGGCACCTTAAAAGGTAGAGGTTCCCTTGCTCGAAAACCAGTCGAGTCCGACTCTAGGGTTGCGGTGCTCACCTCCGTTTCCAAGCCGAAGAGCCAGCGCTGTCCGAAGACGTTTTCCGTGGTCATGTGTCCGGCATGACTAAACACCGAGGCGCACGGAATGCTGTTCCCTTCCCAACAAAGCGGTCCCTATTTATCTACTTGCAGTTTCTTGCTTTCGAACTGCTAGGTTGGAGACGGGAGCTCACTCCGTCATGCGGCACACCCGGGTCTCGAACTGCCGAACTACCAACCTTCCACAGCCTGCAGTTCAGCGTCTTAACCACTTGAGCCACCGCAGCTCAGGGGCATCTTAGAGACCTACAACATTTTCAGGGCGTGAGCCTTCGAGAACTGGAGCTCTGACAACTGCATGGTCCTGGGGTCGCTGCAACTCACTTGTGACTTGATGAGACATAATTATGAAAGGTGCAAGATTCCTCTCCTCTTCCACCTCTGGTCACCTTACGTCTTTGTGGCCCTCCAAAGCCACATGTCATCTACCAGCTTCTAGGGCAGGGGGTCCCCAACAAGGTGCCCACGGGCGCCACAGCTCCTGCCGTCATGCTTGCAGAGGCCCACCGATTGTTTTTAGAAAGTGGGTGGGGCCTACTGGGGCTTTTGTCCAGCAAGGCTTCTCATTGGCCACTGGAATTTGCTTGGTTGTGCAGATTTTTCAAAACTTTGCATTGGAAGCTGCCGCCACCACCGCACAAAGATCTTCATCATGTGGCTGAAGGTGAGCCGGAGCAGCAATTGTGCAGCTGGCTCTGCCTCCTGAGGCCCAGCTTGGTGTAGTGGTTAGAAGAGAAGAGAAGAAGAGATTGGATTTATACCCCGCCCTTCACTTGGAGTCTCAGAGCGGCTTACAAACTCCTTTCCTTCCCCCTCCCCACAACAGACACCCTAAGAGGTGGGTGGGGCTGAGAGAGCTCTGACACAAACTGCTCTTTCAGCAACAGCTGTGCCAGAGCTTGTGACTGACCCAAGGTCACATCAGCAGGTGCAAGTGGAGGAGTGGGGAATCAAACCCGGTTCTCCCAGATTAGAGTCCGCACACAACCACTACACCAAACTGGTTAAGAGCGCAGCCTCTAATCTGGGGAAACCACTCCTCCACATGCAGCTGCTGGTGTGACCTTGGGTCAGTCACAGTTCTCTCGGAGCTGTTCTCTCAGGAGCAGTCCTCGAAAGAGCTCTCTCAGCCCCGCCGACCTCACAGGTTGTCTGTTGTGAGGAGGGGAAGGGAAAGGAGTGTTTAAGCCGCTCTTAGACTCCTTTGGGTAGTGAAGGGCCGGGTATAAATTCAATCTCCTCTTCTTCTGTGGCAGCCATTTTGTGGCTGTGCCAGGATTCCAAGTGTGTCTTCGGGCTCAAAAAGGTTGGGGACGCCTCTGTTAGAGCAGCCTGTTGGTTTTCTTGGGGGGAGGGTTAACTCCTTGGGGTTGTTAAGTACTGAGTGGGCTTGGCAAACATGGAGGAGGGGTCCATGTTTGGGATGGGGAGGTGGGTCCCAGGCGGTGTTCCCTCTAAGCTGAGTGACTGTGAGCCGGCTCACATTTTTTTAGCCTCCGGCTCACACGTGTTTTGTCCTAGTTCAGGAAGGAGGGCTCCAGAGCAAACTAATCTATGCGGCAGCCAAACCACTCGCTCACAACTTTAATGCCAGGAGCTCACAAAGTAGAACGTTTGCTCACAAGACTCCACAGCTTAGAGGGAGCATTTGGTGGCATTGGTTGGGTAGATTTTCTGTTTCCCTGCCTGCGAGTAGCCATCCCTCCTTCAGCAGAGGAGAGTTTAAAACAGCACCTTTGCCTGCTTGTTGTTTCAGGATCATCCAGTTCCAGAGACCGGTCAAATTCAAAGAAGTCCTGCAGAAAGTAATGGACGCTTTCGGACAGATGATGGATTTGCACTACGCCAACAATGAGGTACTTCGTCACAGGGGAGCGGCTTTATACTGAATCAGACCCTTGGTCCATCAAAGTCAGACAGACACACAACCTTTATTGGCATATTAGAGATAAAAGCAGGGCTATTTTTGGGCAGGAACGCACAGGAACGGAGTTCCGGCTGGCTCCCAAGTTGGCCACGCCCACCAGGAACTCATTAGCATAGTAGGCCACACCCAACAGCAGGAACTAATTAGGATTGGCTACATTAGGGGTGTGTGGCCTAACATGCAAAGGAGTCCCTGCTACAAAAAAGGCCCTGGGTTTTGACAACAAACAAGGTAAAGAGAATAAGAATCAAAAGGTGGGTGTGGCTGGATGACCACACTTCTGGTAACATGGGGGTGTGGCCTAATGTGCTAATGAGCTGTGCTGTCAGGGGTGTGGCCCAATATGCTAATGAGTTCCTGCTGTTGGGTGTGGCCTATTATGCTAATGAGTAGTAACTGGACTTTGACACTCTCAGGGTCCATCAAAGTCATCCTTGTCCCCTAGAGTCGGACTCGACTGGCTTTCGAGCAAGGGAACCTTTACCTTTACCTTACATAATAAAAACATCCAACATTATTAAAAACAGTGTTGCTCAATCAAGTACTAGTATCGTGAATCCAAGATGAAGCAACTCAGTTCAGATGGTACGTCCCATGATATTAGATAAAAGTACATTAAAATTTAGGAATACATCAATAATGTGGCTGTCATACAAACAAAGATTTAAAAAAAAAGCTGATCAGTTTATCGTTTCCCGGATTTGAATTGCAGATTGAAGGAAACAGGCAATATTAAAAGTTATAGAAGAATTCTGCCCCTGTGGCCTATTATGCTAATGAGTAGTAACTGGACTTTGACACTCTCAGGGTCCATCAAAGTCATCCTTGTCCGCTCAGACTGGCAGTGACTTGCCAGGATTGGGTCTTTCTCATCACCTAGTATCCGATCTTTGCAGCCGGAGATGCCGGGGGACTGAACCGGGGACATGCTTCATGCCAAGCAGAGGCTTTGCCACTGAGCCACAGTTCCCCTCACCCTTTATTATTTACTCGCTCACTTAAAACGTCCCTCTCTCTATAAGCCAGTGTGGTGTAGTGGCCAGCGTGTTAGGAGAGAACTCCCCACTCTGCTATGAAGCTCAGGTGTCTCTCCAACCTCTTCTTCTTCTTCTCTTTACTGCCCGAAGGAGTCTCAGAGCGGCTTACAATCTCCTTTCCCTTCCCCTCCCCACAACAGACACCCTGCATGGTAGGTGGGGCTGAGAGAGCTCTTTCAAGAACCGCTCCTGAGAGAACAGCTTTGAGAGAACTGGTGACTGACCCAAGGTCACGCCAGCCGCTGCATGTGGAGGAGTGGGGAATCAAACCTGGGTTCTCCCAGGTTAGAGTCCACACTCCTAACCACTACACCAAATTGGCTCTCAGTTGGTTTAACCTTTCCACCTCCAGTTTCTTTTGCTGTTTTGAACCTGGCTTCCTGCTTTCTCATTAGCGCTTTAAAGGGGGGAAATGTGCAGTTTTAAAGGATGCAGCTTTTCTCCTTTACAATACTACTAATAAAGCAGGAAATGTGCTTTTGAGTAGTAAAATCAAATGGGGGTTGAAGGGTTAACACTCCAGTCCCGTCCGCGCACAGTCCTGAGGCAAATTGAAGCTGCATAGGCCGAAAGAGACGCCTCACTAGGTGACTTCAGGCTAGTCATTCTTTCTCTCATCCTAATCTAATTTAAAAGTGTTGTTTCAAGGACAACATGTTTAGGGAGAACTGTGTACACTGCTCTTACTTCCTTAGAGGAAGGGGAGGGTAATACATAACTTTTGAGGGAGTTTGGGAATCCCTGCTGTAGGGATTTTGCTTTTGTTCACTGGTTTGGGGCTTTTGTGGGGAGGGAGCTCACACCACAACAGAACAAAAAATGCATTTCTTTGGAAATAGCTCGAGATGGATAGCTGTGTCAGTCTGCCTGTAGAACTCAAAAAGAGCAAGAGTCCAGTAGTACCTTAAAGACAGATAAAATTTCTGGCAGGGGATGAGCCGAGAGCCAGTTTGGTATAGTGGTTAGGAGCGCAGACTCTAATCTAGGAGAACTGGGTTTGATTCCCTGCTCCTCCACATGCAGCTGCTGGTGTGACTTTGGGTCAGTCACAAGTTCTTTCAGAGCTGTTTTCTCAGGGGCAGTTCTCTCAGAGCTCTCTCAGCCCCCACCTACCTCACAGGGTGTCTGTTGTGGGGAGGGGAAGGGAAAGGAGATTGTAAGCTGCTCTGAGACTCCTTCGGGTAGTGAAGGGCGCCTGTAGGAGTCAAAAAGAGCAAGAGTCCAGTAGCACCTTAAAGACAGATACAATTTCTGGCGGGGGATGAGCCGAGAGCCAGTTTGGTGTAATGGTTAGGAGCGCAGACTCTAATCTAGGAGAACTGGGTTTGATTCCCTGCTCCTCCACATGCAGCTGCTGGTGTGACTTTGGGTCAGTCACAAGTTCTTTCAGAGCTGTTTTCTCAGGGGCAGTTCTCTCAGAGCTCTCTCAGCCCCACCTCCCTCACAGGGTGTCTGTTGTGGGGAGGGGAAGGGAAAGGAGATGGTAAGCTGCTCTGAGACTCCTTCGGGTAGTGAAGGGCGGGGTATAAATCCAATCTCTTCCTCCTCTCTTCTTCTTCTTCATCGTGGGTCAATGCTCACTTCTTCAGATCTGAAGAAGTGAGCAGTGACTCACGAAAGCTCCTCCCCTGGCACACATTGTGTTTGTCTTCAGGATTCTCCTGGACTCTTGCTGTTTTCCAGTTCTTTGGAAGATGGCCGCGAAGCTACCAAGACCCTCTCCGCCTCTCTGAAATATTACGTCTGTCTTCACTCCCTTTGGCTCGGAGCTTCAGCACCTTTGGCTCAGTTCAGGGGCTCGCAAAGTGATGAATCAGCAGTCGGCAGAACAAAACAAAAAAATGTCCTCCGTCCCCTCGTAGCAGCGAGTGCCCCCCGGGCGCGTTGGCTTCACTCTTCGATTTACCAGCAGCAGGAAAACTTCGCCCTGCTTCCTGAGCCGGGGACCTGCCAACTCTTGTCTCTGGTTTACGTGTGTCTATATTTAGGCTGGTGTCTGGGAGAGAATGTCCGCGTACACAGCAGCCCGATTGGCAGACGGCACCCCAACCGGCTTGCCAGACTCGGGCAGTCGGCAAAAGCCAAATTAAGCAGTGGGCCAAGGGGAACTGCGACCTGGGCAATGGAGCGCACAGAGCATTACAGAGCTGGAGGAGAGTGCTGAACTCGCAAACCTGCAGGGCCTTTTTATCCCAAGCAGGAAAGATTTTTGGACGGCTTGCATGGATTCGGGGATGGTTGGGTGGGTTGAGTGGTGGTAGAGGCAGCCTTGGGATTGCCCCCCGAGAGATCAGACCCAAATTCCAGGACAGAGTGAGGCTAATGGAAACATCCCAGTGCAAAGTTGCATAGTACAAAGTTGCATCCCAGTACAAAGTTGCATGTGCTTTTTCTGGGTGTGGGTGGGAGAGAAACATGCATGGAATTATCAGGGAAGGTGAATCGGACTTGCTGGTACATATTTATGGGAATTACGGAGTCCCCAAAGGGACAAAAAGAAGAAGAGGAAGATATTGGATTTATACCCTGCCCTCAGGGCCGGCCCCAGGTATTTTTGCACACTAGGCGAGGCTCCCTTCTGGCGCCCCCCCCCCCCCCCGCGCGCCCCCCCTACCCTGTGAAGTAGGTGGGACTGAGATAGCTCTTTCGAGGACTGCTCATGTGAGAGAACAGCTCTGAGAGAACTTGTGACTGACCCAAGGTCGCACCAGCAGCTGCATGTGAAGGAGTGGGGCATCAAACCCGCTTCTCCCGGATTAGAGTCCGCGCTCCCAACCACTACACCAAACTGGCCGTTGGGTTTAATGTTTCAAGGTAATGGAAGTAGTTTAAGAGGGTCGCTGTGTCGGTTTGGAGGAGAACAGCTAGATTCGAATCCGGTAGACCAACAAGATTTTCCGGATATATTCTTTCGTGAGTCAAAACTCCCTTCATCAGATACTGGTGAAGGGAGTTTTAACTCTTGAAAGCTTATACCCCCCCAGATCTTTTGGGCCTCTAAGGCGCTACTGAACTCGATTCTAACCATAACGGAAGGAAGACGCCTGTGAGTGTCTTTATATTGATACAGCCTCCAGGTGGTCACTCGAGATCTCCTAGAATTACAACTGATCTCCAAGCGACAGAGATAAGTGCCCCTGGAGAAAATGGCTGCTTTGGAAGGTACACTATATGGCACTGGACCTCGCTGAGGTCTCTACTAGTTCTCCTGTATTGTTCATTGGAAAGAGTCAGCTTAGTTGAATCAGTTCTCATGGCAGATCTGTCTGCCCTTTGACAAGTTGCCATCTTGACATGCAGCTTTTTTTAAAAAAAGTAAAGTCTTCAGGATCTCAGGTGACCGGTTCTCCTGTGTTCTTCATTGGAAGGAGGCAAACGCAGACCAGTGGCTCCTACAGAGTTGCAACGGGCAACCTCTTTGTAGCTTAGTTGAATCAGTTCTCATGGCAGATCTGTGTGCCCTTTGACAAGTTGCCCTCTTGACATGCAGCTTTTTTAAAAAAAAGTAAAGTCTTCAGGATCTCGGGTGACCGGTTCTCCTGTGTTCTTCATTGGAAGGAGGCAAACGCAGACCAGTGGCTCCTACAGAGTTGCAACGGGCAACCCCTTTGTAGCTTAGTTGAATCAGTTCTCATGGCAGATTCGTGTGCCCTTTGACAGTTGCCATATTGAGATGCAGATTTTTTTTTTTAAAAAAAGTAAAAAGTCTTCAGGATCTTTTTTTTCGGGGGGGGGGGGGGTACCGGTTCTCCTGTGTTCTTCATTGGAAGGAGGCCAATTCAGCCCAATGGCTCCTGCAGAGTTGCAACGGGCAGCCTTTTTGTAGGTTAGCTGAATCCGTTCTCATGGCAGATTCGAGTGCCCGTTGACAACTGCCATATTGAGATGCAGATTTTTTAAAACAAGTGAACAGTCTTCAGGATCTTTGGGGGGATGACGGGTTCTCCTGTGTTCTTCGTTAGAAGGAGGCAGACTCAGATCAGTGGCTCCTACAGAGTTGCGATGGGCAGCCTCTTTGTGGGTTAGCTGAATCCGTTCTCCAGGCAGATTCGTGTGCCCTTTGACAATTGCCATCTTCTTTAAAAGCAAGCAGTCTTCAAGATCTTCTGGATTCTGCGTTTGAAATGCTGCGTCCTCATATGCCCCACCCCCCACTTGTCACACAGGTCTTCCCCCTGGCCGAATTAGCGATACTCGGTGCCTTTTCTTTCTTTCTAGGCCGCTGTTTTGATCATTTTATTCAGTTCCTCGTGGCAGCGGGAGACTGGAAGGAAAGACGAAAGCCCCTAGATGTTTGGTTTCTGTTTTCCTCCAGCTCTCTCCGGTTGCCTTACGCTGTCCAAGGTTTGATGCCCACCGTTCCCAGGCCCCCTGCAGGCCTTGCCATTTCCTCCCTTTGCTCTTGTTTGTAGCTCAGCTGCAGCGTCAGTGTTTGTTCAACCTTTTTTCCAGCTCCTGGTCCCTCTGAAATCGCAGGAAGACTTGGACCGGGCTGTGGAACACTTGGACCTCAGCCCATCTCTCAAGAGCCTGCGAGTGTTTGTGAAAACTCCAAGGAAAACAAACGTGAGTGGCTCACTTCTCGTCTCTATTCGCTTGTGTACAATGCAAAATGTGGTGTTATTGTCTCCCGGGGTGGAAACGCTGTGCTGCTTTTATCTGTGTATCAGAGGGGTCAGGTTGTTGCGGGGCCTCTAGGGATTGGCCATTTGGTGTTTTGTTTTCAACAAAATCCACTCAACTTCACTTTGGACTCCTTTCTACGCCAGTTTGGTGTAGTGGTTAAGTGCGTGGACTCAACTTCACTTTGGACTCCACTCAACTTCACTTTGGACTCCTTTCTACGCCAGTTTGGTGTAGGGGTTAAGTGCGTGGACTCTAATCTGGGAGAACCGAGTTTGATTCCCCACTCCTCCGCTTGCACCTGCTGATGTGACCTTGGGTCAGTCACAAGCTCTGGCACAGCTGTCCTTGAAAAAGAGCAGTTTGTGTCAAGAGCTCTCTCAGCCCCACCCGCCTCACAGGGTATCTGTTGTGGGGAGGGGAAGGGAAAGGAGTTTGTAAGCCGCTCTGAGACTCCAAGTGAAGGGCGGGGTATAAATCCAATCTCTTCTTCTTCTTCTTTCTTTCGTACCGCGGTTTGAACGGCCATTGCATCCCGCTAACGTACTGGTTAGCCACTAGAAGCCTTCGCACACAATCTGGCCCATGGAGGAAAGGAATAGAGTTTGGAATAGAGACGATGAAGGGAGGACAGGATAGAGGTTTATCAAATTATGCATGAGGTGCAGGGAGCTGACAAAGAGAGTCCCCCGATGAGATGGTTAGACAGTGTCATAGATGCAACAAACATGAAATTGAGCAAACTTCAGAGGACGGCGGAGGACAGGAGGGCCTGGCGTGATTTGGTCCATGGGGTCGCGAAGAGTCGGACTCGACTGTGCGACTGAACAACAACAACAAATGTACTGGTTAGCAACTAGAAGCCTTCGCACACAATCTGGCCCATGGATGAAATAGAGACGATGAAGGGAGGACAGGATAGAGGTTTATCAAATTATGCATGAGGTGCAGGGAGCTGACAAAGAGTCCCCCCCCCCACCGAAATACTAGAACTCGAGGGCATCTGATGAAGCTGATGGGCAGTAGGTTCAGGATGGACAAAGGGAAATACTGCTTTACACAGTGAGTGATTAAAAGGTGGGATTCGCTGCCAGAGGATGTAGTGATGGCCACAGGAATAAACAGCTTTTAAAGGGGATGACATAGATTCATGGAAGATAGTCTGTCAGTGGCGACTGAAAGGAACTCCCACATTCAGAGGCCCTCTGCATCCCAGTGCCAGGAGGGAACATCAGGGGAAGGCCTCGGCCTCTCTGCCCTGTTGTTGGCCCTCCAGAGGAACTGGTTGGCCCCTGTGTGAGGCAGGATGCTGGACTAGATGGAACTCCACTGGTCTGATCCAGCAGGGCTCTCCTGATGTTCTTCTCAGAGGAAGGCCTCAGCCTCTCTGCCCTGTTGTTGGTCCTCCAGAGGATCAGGTTGGCCACCGTGTGAGACGGGATGCTGGACTGGATGGACCACTGGCCTGATCCAGCAGGGCTCTTCTGATGTTCTTCTCAGGGGAAGGCCTTGGCCTCTGTGCCCTGTTGTTGGTCCTCCAGAGAAACTGGCTGGCCACTGTGTGAGACGGGATGCTAGACTAGATGGACCTCTGGCCTGATCCAGCAGGGCTCTTCTTGTGTTCTTATGAGGACTTTGTGATAAGGACACAAGAATTCCATTGCTGACTTTGGCCCGGGTCCACTTTCTCCAGTCAGCAGTCTTCAGCCGGGACAGCCGCATACTGTGGAAGGCCAAAAGGGCAGGATGCAAAATGTTAGCGCCCCACACCCTTGTTTGCTCCCACATAAGATACTCCGAGATACACTGCCTGTGAACGTGGAGGCTCCATTTAGCCATTGTGGCCAATGACCACTGATACCCCTTACCCTTTCTGAAAGGATCTAATCCCTTGTGGGGATGAATCCCATACATTCCTTATGCAGGAAACTTCCTTTTTGCCTGTCCTGAGCTCACCCCACGTAAACGTCATTGAGTGGCCCCCAATCTCTACTATAGTATGGGGAGGGGGGGGGCTGAACTTTCCTGCAACTTCAGTCGCCTTTTGGTCTCTTCTTCTTCTTTCCTTTACTTTAAGGGACCAGCCAGGGCAAACTAGTGTTTCTGGTAAGAAAGGCAAGACATGTCCGTTACCCAAAGCATCCTTGAGTTTCCTAGGAAGGGGGGCAGAACGGAGTTTGGGTAGAGGAGGGAGCTCAGCCATACTATAAAGCAACCGAGTCCACCAGTTTGGAGCCAGTTTGGTGTAGTGGTTAAGTGTCTGGACTCTAATCTGCGAGGACCGGGTTTGATTCCCCACTCCTCCACATTGCAGCCAGCTGGGCGACCTTGGGTCAGTCACAAGTTCTCTCAGAGCTGTTCTCTCAAGGGCAGTCCTCGAGAGAGCTCTCTCAGCCCCACCGACCTCCCAGGGTGTCTGTTGTGGGGAGGGGGAGGGAAAGGAGATTGTAAGCCGCTCTGAGACTCCCTTGGGTAGTGAAGGGCGGGGTATACATCCAATCTCTTCAGTTTGGTGTAGTGGTTAGGAGTGAGGACTCTAATCTGGGAGGACCGGGTTTGATTCCCCACTTCTCCACATACAACCAGCTGGGTGACCTTGGGTCAGTCACAAGTTCCCTCAGAGCTGTTCTCTCAAGGGCAGTCCTCGGGAGAGCTCTCTCAGCCCCACCGACCTCACAGGGTGTCCGTTGTGGGGAGGGGAAGGGCAAGGAGATTGTAAGCCACTCTGAGACTCCTTCGGCTAGTGAAGGGCGGGGTATCAATCCAGTGTCTATCTCTGTCTGTCTGTCTGTCTGTCTGTCTGTCTCTCTCCCCGCCCTCTTAATCTGCCATTTCCTCCAGGGGAACTGGTCTCTGTAGGCTGGCGATCAGTTGTTATTCTGGGAGACTGCCAGGCTTCTCCTGGAGGTTGGCAACCCTAGTCTTGGGTCTGGGGCTGCCAGGTCTCCTGTTGGCAGCCCTCTGTTCCCACTGCAGCTCAGAAAAATAAAATAAAAATCGATGGTGTCACTCCTAGGTCACTTCTGGGGGGAACCCGGAAGTGATGCGGAGTCCCTCTAGGAATCGCTGGAAACTCTGTAGCAACCCTACGTAGGGCCACCATTTTA